AATAAATTATTTTTAGTTAATATATTGTGAATTACAATTTTTTGTTGTTTTATTAAGTTGTATATTAGCCTTTTTGTCCATGAAATATTTTATCTAATATTCTATCTGTTTAATAATAATTTATACATCTTTAAATTACAGTAAACCCATGATTTAATGGACTAATAAGGTTAAATGGGTGTCTGTTAATGTCAACAATCCATAAAATCAAATGTTATAAAGGAAGGTTAATTTTTTACTCTTCAAATTCAAATACAAAACACTATAATGCAAAAATAGCTTTGATATAATATAAAACCTAAATTTATTGAATTGTAATAAAGAACAAATTGGTGAAGTTTTAAAAATAAAGCATCTGTAAAACCATATTCAGAGTTATCAATAATATATTTTAAAGAAAACTTTAGCAAATTTGACTCTTTATTTATAGATATCAAAAATAGCTTGTTTTTTTTTTTTTTGCTGTAAATTTCACAAACTTGTGCTACTAAGCTGTCTTGTTCTAAATTTTCAATTAGCTCTAATTTTCATGTCACTTATAAGTTTACACACTTTCTTTTTACTTCTGTATCAGTTGATGCCCCTTTAAATCATAAGGATTATGAAATGATTTAATAAAGAAAGAAAAATTTAGAAATCACAAAAACAGTCTGTGTGCAATTAACTCATAAACTCATAATTTGAGGCAGAATAAGACAACAAAGTGAATACAGAATTGTAGAATACATACCTCTTGATCCCAGTGATACTCTGTGCCAACACGGGGTAAACTCAACTCTTGCCTTGAGCAGATGATGAATCAAACCAATTTCTCACAACATGCCACCTACTCCCCTCTATTTCTTATCCATTGATTGAAATAAATTTGATAAGAAATGCATGTGGTACGGTGGCTGAAGTGTCCATTAAATCAAGGGTTTACTGTATACAGATTTACTGAAATATCTGTGAAAATTTAATTAAATTTTCACAGATATTCTAAGAAAATAAATTGAAAAACTTTGTTCTTAAATTAATCTTAGTTCCAATTTTTCAATTTATTTTCTTAAATATTAATTTAAGAACAGTTTTTTTAATATTTGAGAGCATTTTGTATTTTGTTGTTTTCTTTATATAAATCTAAAAATTAATTATATAGGTATTATGTGAATGCATGCATTCAGTTAAAATATTCAAATAGTATGTAACTACAGTAACTTTAAAGAAATATTATAGATTCTTAAATAATTAATTTTTTCAAATTAAAAAATAATATATATTTCAATGAAAATAGTAATAAAAAACTTTGAATTTGATTTCTAACAAACATGTAGAAATATGGTTTTTTGATTTTCTGTATCTAGTTTTAATTAGTCTACTGTAGTAAATTAAATATTCTTGTCAGTTAATAATAGTATAGCAAGAGAGAAAATGAATGTAAACTTATTTAAACTTTATAATGTTCTTTAGAGAGAATTGTTGAGGAATGTCACTATAAAATAGTCTTAAACCAAATAAAGATATGATTTTGATTAAACAATCAGAATTATATCTTCACAATGAATACTTTTGTTTGGATCTATATCAGACATGGGCAAATGCACTCTTTTTGAGTTACATGCAGCTCTTGATGAGTGTTAATTTCTGCTTTTTATTATTATTTTTACAATTTTATTTCCACAATTTTGTGAAATATGTTTATTAAAAACTTCAATATTTGTTTTATATTATATTTATGTTATATAATAAAATTGTGGTACAGAATTGCAGTACAGAATAAAAAAGTACAGAACTGTGGTTCCCATTTTGCAAAACCTACATTTCAGCTCCCACTGAACTCTTGCTTGCCCACTCCTGATCTATATAATGAGGTTTATTATACAAATATATACATTTTAGTTTCTATCTTATTTATAAAATTGATTTATTCATAATAATTTTAAAGAAAATTTTTAAAATTTAATTTATAGTGGAAAAATAAATACAGAATAGTTAATTTGTTAAAAATCTGTTTAAAAACCTTATTATGAAAAAAAAAGACTTGGATATTTTTTCAATGTAACAATAAATAACTTTGATAGATCCTGTAATTTTGAAATGTAGACTTTTTTAAATCAGGAGAAACTAAAAGAACATGAACAAAATTATCACTGTCTACATAATAAAAACTATTGAATATATATGTAAATGAAGTTACAAAAATAGATATTTCAAAATTACACAGCACCAGTGAATTTTCAAACTTTTAAGTTTGTAATAAAAAATATTAATATTTGGAATATCCTTAATATCAAAAGTTGTTGGTATATGATTAACCGGAAAAACGAAAACAATTTATTAATTCATTGTTTTGTTTGTTTGAAATATGAAAAGACAAGAATTGACAGTCTTGTGTATATTTTGAACCTAAAAAGTAAAGAATAAAACAGGATATAAACACACAATAAATATATTATTTAATTAACTACATTTAATTAAGTAAATTTTGAAAGTTTATTCCAAATTTTAAATAAGGAAAATGACTCGGTTAAGATAGATTGGTTGTTTCTTTTTATATCATTATGAGAAATCATTACAATAAATGTGAAAAAAGAATTACATTTTTTAGTAGGATTTCAAAAAAAACTGTAAAAGAAATTTCTTTCTGGCCATGTAAACTTCAGATTAAATTTATTGTATCTTACTGGTTAACTCATACCTTTTGTCAGACATTATGAATTTGCATTTAGAAATTTTTGGATGCAGTCAAAACATCATCTTTCTTAAAATTTGTTGACTTTTATGTGTCATTTAGTATTCTGCAACTCTATTTTACACATATCTAACATTCCTACTTTTATATTCTTTATGAAATTGTATAGAAAATATTTCCTATTGTAGGAATTTTTAACAATATGCCATAAGGGTATTAAATTCATATATTATAGAATGGAGGATGAATTGTTAACAAATAAAATGGTTTTGTGGTGTGGCAGAAGGAATAAGTAATTGAAAATCATTTCTATGAACTAGATTTAGAAAGGAAAAAAGTATAAAAACTGTTCTAAGATTTAATCCAGTGGTTAAAACAAAAATCAAGTATAATTTTATTATTTATATTTAATAGTTATATACCATATATATGGAATGTATAAAAAGGCTATTGTACAACTTAGTGTAATAATACAACATTCTATATAATGCATTAAAACTGACAAGTTTTAATAAACATTAAAAAATAATTCTGTATTCATTCTAATGCATTTTTCTTTTTGTTTTCATTGAGTTATTTCTTTGGAAATTAAACCAGGGTAAAAATATTATTAAATTTTTATAATTTATCCTAAATTTAAATATTAAAATCCTTTCCTCTAGATGAAACTGTTCTAGAATTTATTTGAAATGCGTAAATTTAGTGGGCAATCATTTGTTTCCCCTCTCAACACATCTGTGTATATATTGTATATAAAATAGCAATCCAAAATGTAATTTCTAAAATATATTTGATTTATTACTATTGTTCGGAATTGCTTTTATAAATTTATCTGATAGTAATAACTTGTAATAATTAAATAAAATAGGAACTTTGCTATTTTGCTTATATTCTTTTATATTGTGATTAAATCACAATACTGTATTAAGTGTTTCTTTTGATCTATATTATGGTATTATATAAATCTATAATATAATGTGATACAAATTTAAGATATTAATGTGGAAGATTTTTCTTTCAGCTGCATGTACCATATGCATTTTATAAAATATTTAAACATGAATTATAAAATTTTCAATTTTATTGTGAAATAAAAATGGAATTTTCTAAATTGTATTTGTAAAAGGTTCTATAACATTAACAACCCCATAGATAAACAAATGATTTTCTGCACACCATTAGTAAGATTTTCGAATCAATGTCAAATCAATAAAGTCATATTCTTTGTTAATGTGTACAGAGATTCATTTGTAAACTTATTTTAAAAATGTAAGATTTGAAAATGTTTCTTAATATAGAAATATGAATTGTTCAAGCATATTCAACTCGATCTGTATTCTAATAATGGTGTGAGTACCAGATTTTAATATATAATTTTTTGCATGATTTCATATTTGTTAGATATTAGTTATTCATAAACTGTTTAGCACTACTAAATAACATTACATTATACAATAAGCATTACTATTTTAAAAAGTATTTTATAGTGCTTATTGTTTAATGTATTTGTAAATATGCAATACCAAACAGCACAAATTTTGTTTTGGTGCTTGCTTCATACTGTTTGATTAAATTTCTGTTAACAGAGAATAATTTAATACAGTATTGAGAATGTAAAATTAAGTAATTTCTCTAATATTCATAATTAATTTTAACAAAGTAATATATCATGTGTTTGATTATTATAAAAACTATTTATCCTAGTAAGTGGAAAACTGCAATCTAGAATGTATAAATGACCTGAGATGAATTTTCTTCAGATGTACATTTCAGTAATGTAAATTGACATTCAAAGCCCAAGAATTTTGTTTAAGACAAAAGATTGTGTGGCAATCATGTCATCAGCATCCCAGTTACACTACTGGATCTTGATTATTTGGAACATGACATTTTGCCAAACTATTAAATTTATAAGTCTGTGTTAGAGTATGTATTTAGACTTTGATAACGTTCAAGGGGAAAAAAACTGTTAAATGGCAATAACAATATTGCAGTTTTTTAATACAAATTATAAAAATTTTCAAAGAAGTGGAATTTTAAATATACAAGTTATGTGAATGTATTTTGTTTCAGTTTTTTTGTAAGTCACTTGCACTCAATCTATCAAACAATGTAAATAGTTTTTAAATATTATTCCCAGTCTTTTTACTTCAAGAATACTTGGTATTCAGTCTCTAATGATTTGTGACAAAATATTAGATATCAATGTAAAAATGCCTTTGAATAATAAATTTTATTGTCAGCAAAAAGTTGTCTTATTTTTGTGATATTGTAAAGATTTAAAATTTTTAACCTTATTATACATTTAATCACAAGTGTACAAAATTCCAAAAAACAACATTTATTTGTTCAAACTGTTTATTCACTTTCCTTACACTACCAGTAGGATGGGAAGGCTTCCACTAAGCAAATAATAAACATGACAATGGACGTGAACCAAACTTCCAATACAAAGCTGCCAATTAAATTAATCTGTACACAAAAATCTCTTGTGAGCATTGCCCATGTCGTGGTGAAGCAAATAAATGAGATCTACTTCAGGCAATATTGTCACATAACAGAAAAAGACAAAACTAATCCCCTCTCTAATAAGTGATAAAACACTTATTTAAAGTACTACAAAGAACCCTGTTAAAACAATTCTTTACATTTTTCTTAATCACGAAACCTGGCAGAAACAGAACACAATTTTATTCTAAGAATCCATTGGTTGAGTTATTTATAAGTGAGTCTGCTTTTAGAACGACGTCCACGGAGACGTCTCGTTTGATCGCAACTGTCGACGAAGCTAGGCCTGAGATTTTGTAACTCGAATCTATAAATTTGACACAATGATCACATGTACTAGCCGACATTTAAAAATGGCACTGTTTCCAGAGGGAAAATGAAAGTATCATTGAACGGCACATCTATGGCACTTTATATTTTAATTTTCCCCTTAAAAAGCAAAATTGCATTTGTCATTATTTACGATCCCATAAATAAAATTGTAATCTTTGGCCAAAGCTGAAACAATACGGATATACTAACTAGTACATGTAACCATCAAGATAATACTAACTATAATTTTAGTAAATGATCAAATTTGCAACAAAGTTAAGTATTTAAGTGTGCCATTATTCAATCAAATTGCAATAATCTAAGATGTGTTAAATTACTAATTGGCAATAAAATAAAAATATTACACAATAATAATGCTTAAAGCAAAAAATATATGGAAAATGTGTTTCTAAAATTTTCTCTTAAATAATTTATTTTATTTGTGATTGATTAGATCACAATATTTAGTTCAACCCTGCAAGATTATATTTCTTGTTTGATTTGTATTTCAGTAATATTAAATTCAGTTACCCATCAGAATTGATTTAGTGAAAGTTTACATCTCTGATTCTTTCATGCTCGAGCAAAAAAAGCAAATGAAAAAGGAGGGCCTCTTCGATAAAATATATTCTTTTTGTGACGGATGGCTTTTAATGTACTACCATGGTGTATTATGCATGTTTCTCTATCTTGTTGACGACCATTCGGAAAACGATACAGAACATAATTATAAAAGGAAACAAATTTACCAAAAAAACATACACGATAAAAGTGAGCTGCCTTCCCCATGTAATATAGAAAGCACAAGGTTTGGTCTCGCAGAGACAGTAATAAAACACTAACACTGGTCATTGGTAGGAAATGGTTATGCACTCTTTCATTCCTTCATAAGGACAGGTCATTTTCCATCTTTGATCTGATGTTGCATACTTTGCGAAGTCATAGCTCTCACGACTGTCTTCTTTAAATTGAATGCTCCGTTCTACCGAACAGAACAAGATCTGTCTCCGCGGATGGACAGTTGTCTCCTGTGTGTGGCATTGTAAAAATAAAGCCATTTGTCTAAAACATTTTCGCGAGAAACTCAGTGTGTGGCACCTAACAACCAATCACATGGGTCAAAACAGCAATTATATACAAGGCAAAAGCCAACTGATTGTGATGTAGGCACTGAAGGAGATATGTCTGTTGATGGGTGATAAATGTGATGGCATCTAAACACTGAACAATTTAGTCTTTAACAAGTCTGTATATGTGATGTTGAGCACCATGCTCACTGGTTGACACTTCAAACACATAAGCAATACATAACAATGTTTCTTGAGTTTCCCTATTGGTCACCACCTAAAATATGATCAACGTTTTATCATGGTCAGATAAATATAAATAAATTTTTAAAAAAGTAAGAAAAATACCTGAAGGATAGTAAAATTTTCAAGAACGCTATTCATCATGTATTTTTCTGGTAAATGTTTTAATTTGTGAATGAAATTGATCATGTATTCGCACATAGGTGATCTGTGAATCCTGTACACAAATCTAGCATTTTCAAAACGTGCGTATTCCGTCTGCAAAAAAAGGAAAACTTTCATTAGTAAATTTATATTAGCAAAATCAATTTAAATCAAACACAACTTACTTCTACTTTTTCTACAACTTGTTTACCAAATGAACACACTTTTGTTGAACATGTAATGGTCATATTATCATTACTTTCATATCTAAATAAAAATATGTAATTTTTGTATTAGTATTAAAAACAAATAACTATAATATTTTTATTTATAAATTAACCTAAATTTGTATCATTTTGAAGATGTAAGTTATGATTTTATACAAAAAAAACTTTGGGAATCTGTAGAATGCAATGTTAACCTTTGGTAAATGGCAGTTTTGATTGGTGGCATCACCAATATGAAATGCCATTTACCATCAGACTCACTAACATAGCTGTCCAGGACTCTGGAAACTTTTTAAAAAATCACAACCATTTTTCCAGTTTTTAATTTTTTCCACTGCTTCAAATTAATTATTGCCACCAGTTTTACTTAATTAATGCAGGTAACTGATAACATTATCCGTTTATAGTCTGGAAAGCAAAAGTAACATGTTATGTTTCCTATCTCTGAATGATTGCTTTTTTAAATCATTTTTGAATGAATAATTCCAAATAACGCATTTGTTCATAATACTTAAACAATATTTCACAAGTTCTGTCGTTTTGAAGTTTTAATACTTTAGTTTATCGAGAAAAGATCAGTGAAAAAAAATTCCCAATCTGGAAATGTTGCACAAAACTACCTTTGGTTCTCAATTGTCATGATATCATGACAATAAGTACATTCCAGTATTCATCAAATAGTGCATTGGTAAACTGCAATGTACAAAAAATATGTTCCAATATTTACTGGTGCAGCAATTGAGGTGCATTGCACTCATTGGGTTGTGGATATGGTGAACTCTGATGAATATGGCTGCCTCTATGGTTATATTTAGCAACTTTATAAAATAATCATAAAAATTGAATAAGACGTTAGCATGTAATACTATTTAATACTATACATTGTAATTAAATATAAGATTATAATATGTCTAATTGAAACATAGGCTGTGTTGCTAATAGTAAGCAGAAGATTACACTTAATGCATAATAGAGTATGAAATGGTGTTTTTGTATAGACAGAAATTCTTTTAAGCTTCATTATGAAGACTAAAAGCAACAGTAGCAGCTAATGAAAATATTTCTTTATCATCATCATTTTTACTATTCATTTGTATTAATCCAAAGTTATTTTGACAAAATAATTCTGCAAATGCCAATATAACACTGTATGTTTCTGCCATCTTGGTAGGTTGCCAAGTGTTCCAGTAAAAGCTTGTTAAACTGTTCATCAATGCATCGGTTGTGGCTGCGACTGTTGCATACTGTAACATACCCATTGTTAGGTATGTGGTTCAAGGCACTCCCATCACACAGGAGCTCAACATTCTGCTGTTTTTTATGAAGCATGCATTTGTGATTCAATTACATGCTGAATGTCAAAATAAGCAGACTAAGGTTTTTACCACTTTAATAAAAATATCACCAAGTGATGATTTTGATGCTATGCATCTTTACCCCTGGCTGTCAGAAGTAAAGTTTGCAACATCCTGAACACAACAAACCTGAGGATAAGTGCACATCAGATAAAGCAGACAAAGCAAATTAAACAATTAGGTGTTATTATTGATTAAAAAATTTAATTTCACACGTCATACACTAAACCACTGACAAAACTAAGCATGTGGCCAATGCCCTGTTATTCTTGATGTTATTCTTGATGTGGCCAATGTTATTCTTGATTAAAAAATTTAATTTCACACGTCATACACTAAACCACTGACAAAACTAAGCATGTGGCCAATGCCCTGTTGCTAGGAACACTTAGAACTTAAGCCAAAGATACAGCTAAAATTATCATCAAACCTGTTCTCCTGTTTGCTATACAGGTCTGGGATCATATGACCAGCATGCAAAGCATAACAACAGACAGAACTCTTATCTGTCCAGAAAATTGTGACTTCACATATGCAATATTTATATAGGACAGCACTCACAAGATCTTTATTGATCATGTCAGGACTCCCTCCAATAGAATTAATTATTATGCAAATCATTTGTCATGAAAATCTCCTCTGCATTCCCTGGTGAGATTATACTGATTCAGATGTTGACAAAATTCTTAAGGAAAGTAAGATTTCCCTAGTTTGACAGTGATAGCTGACATTAAGAATTTTTACATTGACAAAAAGATTCTTCTCATGACCCAACATTTTCTTTTATAATCCTGGTGACCATTCTGTGTTTAGGATATATACTGACGGGTCCAGATGGGAGATGATGTGAGTGCTGCCTAAGTTGTTTATGCTGACAGAAGTCAAAGCTTCACTATGAGCAATATAAACTAGAGTGCTACTGTTCAATAGGTTACACTGAGACTTTTGCTAGCTATATAAGTTTAGTTTGTCAGATGTAAGAGAGAGCCAATACACTATGTACACTATTGCATTAGTTCAGATAATAGCTTTACACAGGATTGTAAAATTGATAGTCACATTAGGTTGATGCATTTAATTCATCACATTGTCAAACATTTAGATAACAACATTAGATTTCCAATGGATTCCAGGTCATACAGGGTACTCAGTATGATGCCACTGACCATCTTTGCCAAAACAAGTTGCTATGTCTATAATCAACAGTGCTTTCAGTTACATTTCTGTCTTTCACATACACATGCATGTCAATAAACAAATTAATATTCTCTGGCAAGAGAGCTGGAACTGTGATATTAATGGCAATCTTGAGCTCAACATTATCCCCAAGGTCCCAAGAGTTTGACTCTAAATACTTTGACTGACAAAAATGCTAGGGGTAATTACTTACAAGTCACAGTAACTTTAAAAGCATACAATATGGGTCAATACCAAGACCAAATCTATAGTAAGTGTGAGTCTCATGAATACCATACTCCAGTGTTTCTTAACAGGGGGTCCGTAAGAAGTTTGCCGGGGGCCACCAAATTATGCAAAATTTCCTTCAGAATATAATAAAAAGAAAATTGATGTATAACCAAATATCATATTGAAAAATGAAATAAGAAAGATAGTTTTCATATTTAGTTTTTTTTTATTTATTTCTTATTTCTTCCTATATACAACTTTGTCAGTATAGAAGAAATAAATGCAAATATGCTACTTACACTGCAGTATTTACTTCTTTTATTCCAAAGTAATTCTAAAAAACTATTAATGCTTGGAAATTAAAAATATGACACTTCCGTGTTGCGGCATTATTGACAGTCAATAATGCCGCAACACGGAAGTGTCATATTTTTAATTTCTAAACGCTGGCATGAAGTGAACTATATTTTCATTAATGCTTGGAATTTTCAAAATAAAGCAATAATAAAAAAATCAATTTATTATAGATAATTTAACAAATATAAATTATTTAAAAAAATGGGGGTTCACAAAAAAATTATGAAATATTTGGTGGGCTGTGAGTATAAAAAGGTTAAGAACCATTGCCATACACCACTTCACTTAGTTTTTACTTGCAATGGGTACACGAATATTAGGGATAGCTTAGAGCTGCAACTTTGGAAGTATACAATTAGCCTTGTACACCACACTAACTTAACAAAACAAAAACAATATACTGTCATTTGATTACATTCATAACCTAGAGTAGAGACCTAAAAATTAATTTTCAGGTAAAACATGCACTGGATGGCACTTAAGCTATCATAAAGCTATCCCAATCAATCAGCCTATCTAATTTTTGTTAGTTTAATTACTTTCTCACCTGGTATTTAGACTTAGTGTTTTCTCAGTTATGTTTGTAGGCAGATTAATATTATAATAGGTGTTAGAGACTCTGGATGGACCAGTGGGTTACCTTATTTTTATGTTTTAGCATAGTTGTTTAGGGATAAGCATTAAGTTGTGTTGGCCTTTGTTGGCTCTGTGTTTAGTCTCTACAGTATATTAGCTTAATTACTTTTGTTTTATTAGTTATAATTAGCATTAATTAATTTTACTTTAGCTACTAAGTAGTTGTATTTCTAATCTGTAAATAGTTTTATTTAGAGGATTAGATAAGTATAACATATAACCTGTTATGCATTCTAGTTGTAATTTGTTTTAAGTCAAGATTAGTTATGTTTCTGTCTGTTAGGATCCTTCTTTCTACCTTAATTAAATTTTTCTAAGACAATACAATCTAACTAATTAGTCACTTCAGTGAACCACACTTTCTGTAGGTCTGCAGATAGTCTCATTTGTGAGAATGTCTATACTATTTTCGTTAGTTTTCGGTGGAAAAAATCCTTCAGGAGATTTCATAGAATGGCCAGGAGCTTAAACTCCTCAGGTATACAACAAGCTTAGAGTGATGCCAATAGCAATAAATGGTGTAGTGTTGAGCATAAAGAACCATACTTTCTTTTTCTATCCACCTCTTCATTCCCTTCCTAGCTAAACATTGTGTACAGTCATGTCTTTCCTTCACCTGTTACTAATACATGTAAAGAATATCAACTAGAATATATTATATAATCCTAATAAATACTATTTATACAAAAATAATATTTAAGCAAAGCCATTTGAATTCTAAAGTACCATTACAACATTTATCAGCCTATTTAATAAATATAATACCTTTTTTCAATAAATGACACCATTATTACATAATATATTTCATATAAAAGTCACAAGATATTCACAATTAGTGTAATGTGATGAACTTATTTTTCAATTTTTGTTGATTTGTTTAAGAACACGTTAAACAAATTAATGATATAAAATATATATAGTAATAAATAAAAAAAACAAAGATAAAATTATCACTTGAAAATTGATTTATATTTTTGAATAAATTATGATGACCAATACTATATTTAATTTATGCACAGTTTATTTCTGATATTTTTTAAATCAACAGATCAATGTAAAGCAGTAAACAGTGTGTATGTGTGTGTGTATATATATATACATTTTTAATTTTCAAACAATGTCAGATAATTCTTACTGAATTTAAAACAAACAAATAATTGACAATGACTAGAACAATTACTGCATCATAGTACTTCTAAAATATAAGAAAAATCATTTGTATCTAGCAAAATACTATAAAAACATGTTAATGGTGCAAACTGAATTCATAATTCAAAATATTCTA